TAGTAGTTTTAGTTTTGCTTTATTTAATAGCCAAAATGACTGTTCATGATAAAAATGAACAAACTAATGTGATTTTGGTTGAGGTTCAAATATCTGACAAATAACTGTTTAACCCCAAAAGTGCAGTAATGTGACTTTATACTCTGCCTATATTGATTTTTTGAATGGAGTTTTCTGCTTCACATATTTCTGCAACTCCTTCACTGTAATAATGGATGTATTGTTAGAAGGGCCACGTAGGCTGTTGTAGTGGGAGCTTATGGTTTTGTTATTGGTGCACGCAGGAGCAGATTAAACTGCTGCAGGGACATAGTTAGCCTTTGGCCTCAGAGCTGCCGGAGGGTGAACACAACATGACCAAGGTGAACCTCCTCAGTCCAGTGGTGAGTCAGCAGCAGCTTGCCCTATAGCAAAACAAATAAATCCAAAAACATGTGGGATTGTCTGACCTGCCCATGTACAAATATTAATCAGCTTCGATGAAACAGGGTCAAGCTCTGCTCAACATATGACCAACTCAGAAATGTGCTTTTCCAAATCTTCGCTCACTGGCTAGACATAGTGTATTTTTACTTTTACTCTTTATTCCGTCTTCTCTTCTTTGTATTCTTATTCTGTAAAGCACTTTGAATTACTTTGTGTACGAATTGTGCTAGCCTTGCATTCATCTGATTGGCAATATTGGACTCTTGTGTTTTTCTTAAGTCTGTGGACAGTATAGCTCATTCTTTTTTAATGAAGCTCCTCCAACTATGACTCATCAGTCTACTATAGAAAGCAAGAAACAGGAAATCCAACATGGCTGATTGTTATTTTAACTCAAATTGTCCTATGGGCTACAAGAAAGAAAACTGGATTAAGCACTAAATTGCATGACACAAACTGAAGCAAAGACGTAAGAATGGTACTTTAAGAAACGTACTACTACTTCAAAATGTTTTGTATTTATAAAGGATTTAAGTGCCTAATAACAACATAAAGCTTGAACACACTAAAAACCACAATCAAATCTACTTCTGCTACTAGTATTGACTATTAGTAATATAAATAAATGCTACTTCAGATTGGACTGGTCAAAAATACTTCAACTTCAAAACAAAGTATGTATAGCTGTTAAATCTTTGACCTCCTTCAATTAAAAGACAAGCTAGTGTATTTTCAAACTTGAGAGATGTAGTGAAACAATATGTGGATATAAAAAAGCCTACATTATGTTTATATATGGGTCAAAATGGATGAACAAATTTAAATTATGTGGAAAAGACAAAATCTATGAAGAAACCAGTCATATTTAAGCCCGGAACTGTCAACAAACCTCTTCTATCCCAAACAAACAGGCTTTTGATCCCAAAAAAGCATTACGAGGAGATAGAGCTGACTATAAATAAGTACAGATGGAGCCATGCTTAGGCAGTGGCTCTGACAGCCCAAGTCCTACTGATCTGTTTGCGCTCAATTGCTAATTTCCTCAAAGCCACAAGAAGAGTAACAGACAGACAAGAATCAGGAGGAGTAAGAGTCCTGGTGATGCTGACCTCTGCATGTTGGGGTCAAAAATGCATAATGTATGAACTATGACAAATGGTGTGCTCTGGATCAACATGAAAACATCACAAAAGAGGTCAAACTTTCTGCATGGTGTGGGAAATAGGGATGGGATGAGACACAATTTTTACAAAACTAGATGAGATACGAGATTAGGTCCACGAGGGAGGCACGAGCGAATGAGACAAATAATAATAATATAATAAAATAACTGTGATTTTGCCTAAAATATTTCTTACTTAACATTTTTGTTGTGGTAGTACTTTTTGGAACTACAGCTCCTCAAGGGATGTAACGGACCAGCCCTTTTCTCCTTTTGTTCAATCTAGATAAACAAAATGGAAAAAAAATCTCACAAGATCATTTTTTTCATGTGTACACAGTCTTGTGGTAATTTCATCTCATGAGATCTTGTGGCACAAGATCTTGTCCAATCCCCAGTGGGAAATTTCTCTTAAATATCCAATTATCCATGGAGATAACTCAAACTAGACGCTGATGTTTACAAATATGAAGATCTCAGTATTTCAATGGATTATTGCAATTATAGTATTCAGATGATTTTATAGTTAAAGCAATCATCAGAAATGTGCCAATGCATGCTTAAAGCACACTTCCAAAACAACAACAATATTAGAATTTCTTTATAACTCCCAACTCCAGTCAAAAGTAAATGCTTAATTCTTCATTACCACAAATATTTTTGGTAACATATGGTATAAAATGTATGACTAACAATTAGGCAAATCACTGCTCAAAGTAATTTTGAAAAAAGCCCAGAACATACAATAGGAAGCAAAGAAAATGTAGCAACAAATAATAAAAATATCACTGCTAAAATGAATAATCAACAATATAGATTTCCAATTAATACAGAATGACAATCACAAAAGCTGGTGCCTCTTTGAGTGTATATGACTGTACCTACAGTGGCTTAATAGCATGATGGACATAGACATACATATGGAGTAGTTTATATTTAGAGAGAGAAAAGTGAGGGATGCTGAGAAGGAAGTGCAGCAGCAGCATGTGGCCGGGTGTCTGGAGGCAGGCAGTCAAAGAGCAGCGTTGCCGTGACAACCGTGATGCCTTGTTGATGATAATCACTGAGCACCTCTCGCTAGCTCCGGAGACAGACACTATCCACGCTATGTACAGCTCTGAAAGCCTGTGCTGGTTATGCACAGTTCAAATTGGTTGTTTTGTACATTCAACATGGGACTAGGCTTTCAGGGGGTTGGAGCAAGCAGGGTCAATAAAAAAATCAATTAAAACCTCAACCAAAAATGTTAAAATTTTGCTGTCACAGTGCATTATATCCTGCCATATTTATCAAAGCACACCACAATATCTGCATATAAACAAGTCTTCCTCTGTCCCTTCTCTGAACCACTCATGATGTCATGTGAAACCCAGGAATAGGACCATTGCTATTCCTGTCGTCTCCACCATCACATGTTTTCAGTTTCACTTTTCTGTGAGATTCCACAGTTCAAACAGCACTGACCTGGCCATAGAACAGGGCCATATCAGATCCAGTAGACAAGCCATCTGTCCCCTCAGGCTGCAGGATCAATAGCCCCAAGGAGCGCTGTGCTGCGGTCTCCCACATTGACTGTTCTAATGGATCAGGTTTGGCCCACAGAGGACTCATTGTACCGACAGACTGACCACTGAGGTCTGTGCCTCACACCTCTTTGTTTCTACTCTTTTAATTAAGGAGCAGGCCATGAGAATTCCCCAACAGCTAAGCTATTGGCAGCACTGCAACCAGAACTGATTGTTCAATTCAAGGTTTAGCCAGGAAATCTTTGTATGGCCAACACATAGAGTTTTAATTTATCATAGTGTCAGGCTTTAATGCATGTTCAAGGTGTGCACAAACCTAAGCGTGGGTTTGGAGTGGCTGTGTGAGTATGAGGGGCAGTGAAAGCAGGTGAGCAGAGGGACATTCCAGCTGAATGCTCTGGTGACTTTACACTGATCTGATCCAGGCTTGGGCTGCATCAGCTGGTGATTTCTGAGCACATAGCCACTGCAGCATCTTACCACCTCTCTCCACTCTGTCTCTCCTCCCCCACCCGGCCCCACGCCTCCTCCTCTCCACCTGCTTTTAAATGCATGCTGCTGCCGGCCGGGGCAGCCTATGCAGGCAGCACCAGAGCTGTGCATAGAAGAGGATGGATCTTTACCGTCCACTGCAGCCAAGGGGGAGTGAGAGAGCAGATCTATACCCTGGTCTGCCCCCATGGCAGCATGTCCTACCAATAATCGATCAGGAGAAGAGGAGACTTGAAATCTGGACCAGTCTGACAGAGGAGGGATGCTTTGGCCCAGTAGGCACTCAGCTCTGAGCCTCTTCTCAGTAAATAGGCCACTGGCTCTAGCACCAGCCCTGCAACCTCAGGAGACAAACTGTTTCAAATCAGGTTATAAATGGCACCACTTCCGCCCAGAATAACTGAACAATGTAGAGCCACAGTCACTGTGGCATTGGCAGCTCTGTAATGTCATGCAGCAGACGCCATCGCCTGATGCTGAGGAGGAAGCAGCCTGACACCAGCCAGTCCTATAGTCACATAGCGCTCGCTCCACAGTGCACACACGCGCGCACGCTGTACATTTAGCTCACACGTTTCGTAACGGAGACACAGTGATGCACGAGCCCTGCTGGATTTAATCCGTTAGCTGTGCTGTATATGCCAGGCCCTGCATCCACGACACATCCTGTGCTGGGAAAGAAGGGAGGAGGTCGCACTGGAGATGTGATCCTCAAATGTAATTATAGCTCTTTGGACACGGCATTATAATACTACCTATACATCACAGCTCTGCGCACAGGATGCAGGCCTGTCTCCAACAAAAGGCCTGTGCATAACATAAACCATTGCCATACTCTCACATATGCGATGGTAGCTTCAAGCTAGTCGGCCTTTGTCCGTCTTACATTAATTTGGTTTCCGTGGACAGCAGACCTCAATACCTGCATCATTTCGCTCAAGAGGAAAACGACTCAATTTATTCTGAGTGGTGCGCAGCATTGTAGCATCACCGTAAACAGCCCTTCGCATCTACTCAGCGGAATAGCCTTTGCTTTATTACACTTTGAATGAATAATTCCTCTGCTTGTTGGACCAAACGGGTCATTTAGTCAACAATGGCTGGTGATTAGAACAGCCTTATGCTTTGGTGGGATCACATGCCCCATTCAGCTCCTCGGACTTAACAATAGTACACTTTTACGTATATGTGACTGGCCAGACCCGTGTGGGGGGCTGTGAATATGCACAAATGTCAACCTTAACACCATCTTGACAAACAAATGACATCATCCTCCAAAGCCACACAACTGAAGCATCGTAAATAAAACATAGCGGCTTAGGGCGCAGTGATTCTGTTTTCTATATGGCTGTCTGCCTTTCTGGTTTATCACTGGGCTATAGCAGTGCACTTACCAGGTTTAGCACTGTCTCCACGATGTCCCTGTTGCTAACCTCCCCGACCTCAATAAGGCCAACCAGGACGGCGAATTTCATCTGGATATTCCGTATCGGGACGGCGGGGTTAATCACCCCGGCCGGGAGAACCATAGACCCGGCCGCAGACACCATCCTTTCCCCCGTGGTGTTGATCTGCTGTTGGGGCGGCTGCTTCGCGGAGGAACCGGGCGGAGGATGGGTGTCTGTTGTGTCCGTGAGCGAAGAAGCACAACCCGGTGGTGCTGAAGCCGGCTTCTCGCTCGACATTTCCCCTTTGGAAACAGGGACGAGAGCCGCTGCCTCTCACACCTGCTCTTCAATCTCCCGATTCACAAACACATCCAATGCGCAGAAAAAAGAGACGAAAATACAAAGTCCGGTGGAACTTAAAGACGCCCTATCCCCCTGAAAACGTGTGCGGATACATAGGGCTGGAGAGGAGGATGGAGGATCAGAGCTGAGGTTTGGGGGATCTTTCTGTGCCTCGCTGCTGTGCCTCGCTGTGTCTCATTGGCAGGTTGCAGGTTGCAGTCAGTGCGGTCGTCGAGGAGAGAACGCCATGTTGACGCCCCCTGTCTGCGGTAACGCGCTCCAACCACGCATGCGCACATGGACTCTTTCTGGAAGGAATTAACATGGAGCCTGACCATGGGGAACATGCTTGTGCTGCTCTTATGATATCTGTCACCATAGAAGAGTGGCACAACTATGCTCAGATTAGGATTATTCATCTAGATCAGATTACCACTAATTAATAATTACTTTACTATAGGGAAACTGTAAGTAGGCCATTCATAATAACTATGCCATGATTATGTATTCAGTTAAATTAATTATTTTTGCTTTGTTTGTTTATTTGCTTGTTCTAAATGTATTTTACTATTGTACTATTTACAGAGGCATAATATTGTTTCCCTCATTTACACAGCTGTTTAACTTTATCTACTGTAAAAACTATTGCACATATTATTTTATGTAAGAATGTTTAAATATATATATTTTTTTTAAAGGAGCATGGCCTTAATTGCCCTTATTATTGGCCCAATTGTGTTTTGTTTACACTTATTATAGTTCCACTCCTTTATTTAGCCTATAGTTTATAGGCCCTGAGCTTTAGATGTAGCCATATAGACTGTATTGATGGAGAGTGGTGTAGAACACTTAGGACTCCAGCTGTAAACAGTGTGTGGAGTTTGTTTGGGTAACGATGACTCGGGGAGAGTTCATGCAGTGTAAAGAGTCTGGCTTTCAGACACAAACTGTTTATAAATTCAGACACAGACCATCCCTCTGTCCCACTTCTCTGCAGAGGAGAAACAACACCAAACCTGCACAAGTTAGAAGTGCTGTCACTGCAATGTAACACAAGTAAACAATTCAAATCAAAATTTAGAATATGAATTGTTCATGTTAGTTTATTATAATACTTTTTCTACCACTTCTAGCCAACTAGGTCAATTTTCACTTGCCTAATTTGACAAATGTGCTTTGGTAAAAGAGTCCTAATCCATTTCCCGTGCATGACGGCTCTGGCTGTGCTGCTTGCCTAAATTTCCTCAAAGAAGTATTTCTATATTTTGCTCACAGTTTTTGCCTTCTCAACTTCCCTTTCCATTATCATATTCTATCAGCATTTGCTAAATCTCTGTGCTTGTTGTGGCAAATTTTAAAGTTTCTAGTAGCCTGCATAACTGAATAATATTTTCCAGACAACCTGATTGTGGGTCATTTCTGTGGTTCTCTGGAAGAAGGATTCCTTTCTAATTTGAATGATTTGGTGTGGCGCCGGTCCTACAATTACGCAATTGAAATCAAAATATTATATCTTCTAAAATCAGGAAGGAATCATTTGCCCGAATAATCTAGCAAAATTTAGCACTTGATTTCACTTTCACATCACAGCAAGGAGGTCATCAGGTGGAACTTATATCACTGTGGAGTTTTCTCTTTGCCCTGTTATCCTAAAACAGGCACAGTTGACCAGTCCTCCAGCTAGGTAATCCTGAGTCACCCTGGTTCCCCTGAGCATTGCACTGTAGTTACCCCTTGCTCCTGACAGATCACCCATTGGCACAGTTAAAATACAGAGGAGAGATTTTTATCCATGATTATTGTACTAACATCACATTACTGACTCTATGACCAAACAGCAGCATATATTAGCTTTCCCAGTATGTGACCGGTTTTATGAAATTTATGAATGATAAAGTTAATGGGACATTTAAAACACACTTTACATTTAAAGGGCTCATGTTACCTTATTTTATTATTTTGTAATGCTGCAGTTATATAATGCTGTTTCCTCATCAAAAACATATCTGGAGTTGTGCAGATTTAGACTTTAGAGTTCTTCTCTCAAACAGAAAGCGCTCTGATAATGCAGGATTACTCAAACATGTGTGAATGAAACAAATCACAACTCCAGGCATGTTTTTGATGTGCCAACATTCTAACATAGATTAAAACTCATAAGAATCAACTGCGTGTAATACAGGACTTTTAAGGGGGACTTTTTCTTACACCACACTGTGACCTATATAATTAAGACTTTATTATAACTAGGCTTTATTCATAATAATGAGCAAATAGTTTATTTAAAATGATTCAGGTTTAGTGGTACCTGATATTTTTTGTCACCAGTTAATCTCGACATCCCTATGAGGAAAGACTTACCTGTTGGGGACAATAAAGACTACAATGGCTACTTTAAGAACCATTCATTTCAGGTGGACTTCCCCTTTAAGAAGCCTCATGGGTCTTGCTGATCTCAGTCTTCCCATGTTGTCACTATGGAGTCAGCTGGTGTCACTACATGTGAGTGGAGTATGGAGCTATAAGCCTGTTTCACACTGTGTGCATAATGTGCATGGGCCCAACAGGACACATCTGCAGGGGAGGACTTCCATTATCACGGCCGCTCTCGCCCCGATTCGTCACTGTCTGATCCAAGCGGCGTTAGCCCTGTTCCTGTTTATTTTCATATAACAGTTGATAGCAGTCTCTTTCATGTCTGGATCCTCAGTCCTTGCCCTGGTTTTTGGAGTGCTGGGGTGAGATAGGGCTGTTTCCTCATGGAGCGAGAGGCAAAATGTTTGTGGGATTTGTAACACAGGATGCTATCAAATGCCCCCTGCCAAAACTACTCTTTCACAGCAAGAGGGTGCTCTGAGCCTGGTGGCTGTTTAAAAGGAAAAAATATGTAGCGCTGACTCCGGCTACTTGTACCCTTGAAAAAACTTCCTTATGAGTCCTCTTTTGTGGCACTTTTAGTTGGTTTTAAAACAACAGATCTACTTAAATCTATACATTCACACTCACAAAAAATATCTGTGATTCCCATTGACCTCTATTATAACAAAATGCTATCCCTGCCCTTTTAGGTATGAGTCTGAATTTTGGTGTTTTATTTCTATAGCACAATTTGTACAGAAAGTAATTCAAAGTGCTTTACAGAATTAGAAATACAATAAGATCGCAATGCAAACAAATCAAAACATAAATAGTCATCATAAAATTAACATTAAAAGAGGAGAGTGTGGAATAAAAAACTTTCAGTCATGTGCAGAGCTAAACAGAAGCATTTTGACATTTGGAGTTAAAGCAGAGGCCTTTCACACATGTTCGGGATGACCGTTCCAGGTTTCAGCTGCATGAATCTGAAACCCTGTTTAGTCCTGTCTCTGGGCAACAGCAGGAGGTCAGTCCATGAGCTCCTCAGAGTGTGAGATGGTTCATATGGCACTAACATGTCAGAGATGTACTTTGGTGCTAGGCCATGGACAGACACAAGCAGAGCTGCTTCAATGTCTCTGAGCCACAGGAGCCAGTGCAGAGACCTGAGAACAGGACACATGTGATTATACTTCCTGGTTCGAGTCAGGACCCGAGCAGCAGTGTTCTGGATGTACTGCAGCTGTCTTGTATGTTGAAATATAGCCTTTGTGTATAAAAACATATCTCCATCACACACAAGTACATGCACCATGGAAATTTCATACATGTTTTTATGATGATAGAATAAAACAATAGATTTTAATACAGCTGTTGAGCACACTCTGGATGGACTGGACTCTGTGTCACCTTCAGAAAGTGACAAGTGGTCATGTATATATATATATAAAAAGTTTTATTGCTGTTATGATTTTCTTGCACACACTTCTTAATTGTAATTGCTTTTCTCTCTCTTTCTCTGTGCCCCCTCCTCTCTAGAGCATCTTAAACCAACATTAATTCATCCTTTTTGGTCCTAAAATAACACAGTAGTAAAAGGCTCTACAGTTTACACAAGACTCGTCACATCTCACAAACCAATCAAACAAAGAACACACCTCCATCTGCACACACCTCTCCATCACTGCTGTCATGCTCCCTCCCTTTCTTTCTCTCCCACTCCTCTTTTTTTTCTATCTAATCTCACTGTCTCCCTCTCCTCTTCCTTCTTCATGTATTTCCCTTTCTATCTAACCCCGCTCCCTTCTTTTCCTGTCTGTCTGTTTCCTTTTCTCTCTCCTTCAAGTCTGTGTCACCCATCACTCATATTTCACTCTTTCTGTTTCTTTCTTTCTGTCCATCTCTCTTTCACTCATGTCTATCCTCACGCTCTCTTTTCTTTCCAAGTCTCTCTTCCTGTTTGTCCCCCTCACTCACTCTCCTCTCCCTCTCTCCTCTTCCTCCTTCTCTTCTCTTTCTTTCTTTCTTTCTTTCTTTTTCTCTTTCCTTCTCATTCTCTCACCCCCTTTTTTCTCCCTCTCAACTTCTCTTTCTTCCATCTCCCTTTCTCTTCGCTCTCCCTTCTCCCTTCTTCTTTCTTCTTGTATTTCTTTCTCCCTTTCCCTCTTTTCCTCTCTGTCTGTTTCTCTAAGTCACTTTCAAGTCTGCGTCACTCATCTCTCATATTCCTCTCTTCTTTTTTCTACCTCTTTCACTCTTGCCTATCTTCGTTCTTTCCTTCTTCCTCTTCCTTCTTTGTCCCACCTGTCTATTCCCCCTCTCTCCCTCTTTCTATCCTTCCTCAATTCTCTCTCCTTTCCTTGGCCCACCTGTCTGCGCCCCTCTCTCCCTCCTTCTCATTCCCAATATCTCCCTTTCTTCTTCTCTCACTCTCTATCCATCTCTGTCTCATTCTCCCTCCCCCTTTCTTTCTTTCTTCCTCTCTCATCTTCCACTCTCCTCTCTTACTTTCTCTCTCTCTTTCATCTCCATCCCTCTGTTCCTCTCAGAATCTTTTCTCAGAGCGGTCCGTGCTGAGGCGTAAGGAGAGGTGAGAGCTCGGGGGACCAGGCACTCTCTCTTTCTCTCTCTCTATCTCTCTCTCTCTGTCTGCACACAGCACTACAACACTCTCTCTCTCTTTTGTTTCCACACAAAGGCTCGTTCTGCAGTTCTTTGTCACGAGTCCACAAAAGATTTCTTTACCAGAATGGAGAGGTCTTAACCGGGATCTGCCTCTGATTGGCCAAAAG